ATTAAATCAACTAATTAATTAATATTAATTACCTGTAATGACAACATCAGTTAGGTTTGTTCCAGTAATTAAACTGGAAAATCTTTTTCCATCAGCATCTCTTCCTCTTCCATATGAGGGCAATGGATCAATTAGAGGATAATCTGATTCTACCTAAAAAAAAAATAAAAAAAGATCACACAAATCATAATTATTTTTCGTAGTTTTATTTTTTAATAAAAAATTTGAGAGATATAAATTTATATAATTAACCTGAGAGGCAAGAAGAACGGCATTCTTGTGTATATAAAGAGTGAAATGGCTAGCGAGATTGAAAGATCCAGTTAGCCATTTCCCGGGTGGGACCACGAGAAGGGCACCACCATCAGAGGCGACTTTGCTTAAATTAGCAACGGCCGCCTTAAAAGCGGCCGTGTTGGACGTTATACCGTCACCTTTTCCTCCAAAATCGAGCAAACTCGCGACGTGCTTTCGGCAATTTATCGCGGAATATTGTGTTTCTTGCGCGGAAATCTGTTCACAACTGGCTACTGGATTCAGGCAATGCAATAGTAGTCCCACCACGAAAAGGATGACAAATTTCTCCATAATCTGAAAATAAGACATGAAAATTCTTCAAAAAAAATTATGAAGAATTTAAAAAAAAAAAAAAAATGATGATGATGATAATTGATAAGTCATGTGAAATGAACTCTTTACTTGTGATTTCATGTGATGTAAAAATTGATGGTGTGAGTGTTGTGACAAAATGTGTGTGTGAGTATTTATAGAGTTGGATTAAGGTTAAGGGTCAAAGGCAATATATAATCAAGAGTTTTTATGTAGTAGTATATAGCATGATTTTCTTGGATTTCATATTATTATGTCATTATTAGCTTAAGAAAATCAATGAAAAATTCACAAAATCAAGGTAAATTAATCATAAACGTTGACTGGATTTTGTGTAATTACATATGGTATATAATGTAAGGTGATTCAATTCAAAGGGAGAAAAGGAAAAAATATGTAATTGTAATGGTACATGAAGGAGCATAAATGCTATGGAACCATCAGATTGTTCCCTTATGGCGTCATCCGTATCTTTATGTAATGATACGTGTTCAATGTGTATTTATTGCAGGACACGTGTCAATACACTATTTAGAGAGAACTATGGATGACTTAATAAGCCGAGTCATCCGAAGACTCCATAGAAAAATCGTATGGATGAGATGAGATTTATTATTTTAAAATCATGTCATATTTCATGAATGACATGTATTTATGATGAGATTGGGCAAACAATTGAAAAATTAATATTTATATAAAAAATTAAAGGGTATATATGGCCATCCAAAAATTTCAAGAATGTGGTCATGATAAAGAGTTAATCAAATTTGTGATATTATTTTTAATGTTATGGCAATATCTGAATGATTGATCTTGATAATATTATAAATTAGATTAGATAGTAAAATATGTTTGTTATGTGTATTTTTTTGTAATTCACTCTCTAAATCAATTGTAATATATATTATGACTATAATCCTTATAAAATCTTGTGATATTTGGTTATTTTTTTTAGTACTCAAGTTTATTAACAAAATATAGTGTAATTTTTTGGGTAGGGTATATTGGTAATTTGAGTAGCTTTCCTTCCGTTTTCGTATAAAGAAAAAAAAAATTAAAAAAAATGGAATGTTGCATTTATATATGTTTATAGATCTTTGAATGGTTTAATTTGTTTATACATTTATAAAAAATCCTTTCCCAATCTTTGCTCAATATCGGGTTAACTTTCAAACTACATTTTGATTCATCGACAGCCAGTAATCATGATCAGTAGTTCTACAGAGTGTGTTTGGTAGTATAATATATTAATTTATAATTTATTTAGTTAGCTTGAGTTTTATGTATTAGATATATTTAAATTGATAAGATGAATTATTATTTTTTTTTTAATTTAAAGCTTATTTTATAAGCTTGTTTCTATTGGTGGTTGAAAATTTATTTCATTAGTTAAATTTACGCAACACTTTTATATAGCAACTAGCTTATCAGTTATCAATAATAAACTATCATCGAACTATAAGTTTGAAATTAAGTTATAAGCTATTAAGTAACTTATCAGTTGTAAGGTAACTTTTGAACTTGATTGGTAAGGTTAGTAATATTACAGTAATAAAAAAAATAAAAAAAAAAAATAAAATTGATGAATAATTGTCATTTTAATTAGTGTAGCATGACTCATAGTTTATTTATTTTTTTGAAATTTCATCTTCATTCTCGTTCGTTCAACTTAATTGATTGACCTTTATGGGGAGAGAAGATCAGCATAAATTTATTTTGGAGAGAGAATATATAAGCATGACTTTTATTTGGAGAGAGAATGAAATTATTAATTATATAGAGAGAGAAAAAAATTCGTGTATGTGAAAATAAAATGCCCACTTAATTCTTAATTGATAAAAAAATCTACAGATGTGTATTCGTAAAAGATTTTTATATGTTTTTGTTTTTGTTTTTTTTTTTTTTATTAAAAAATACTTT